CTTTCAGGAAATTCCTGCATCCGCGCCTGATTACAGCGTACCCACGCGCGCTAGTGGAAAAAAATATTTAAACCAAGAAAACAAAAATGGAGCATGCGCTATCAGGCTCCCTTTCGAAATGCTATACTTGGTGTCAATAACTTTTACAGTTGGTCCTGCAGCTAGAGCGCTCGTTTAGCCGTGCCGCTGCCACACTAGGAGCTCGCGCTGGTAGCCTTGGGGCTTAGTCCGTACTACACCGTAGTCCGTACTAATATAACACGAATGTATTCGCGGCGAGATGCGCGTAAGGGGCGCTTCAGCGATCCTCACTGTAAAGCCCCTTCATGTTTCAAAAGGAGCACAAGGTGCGTCGATCCACGAGGCACATGCCGCACTTGGGAAGATCATGGCTGCACAGCGCAGCACTGTTCTAGCTTTCAGACGTTATGCTCTACCCAGATGTGACGCGCGGCACGTGTCTCGGGCATTTCCACAACAATGAATGGCGCCACTTTTCCCAAGATATATATAGGCTTTACCTCACTGCGGCGGCTACACGTGCTAATCACGCGCTGATGTTTTTGTTCCCACATACAGCACAGATCTAGCTTTCATGTTAGAACCGCGAGTCACTGCGGCATGTCCGGCCGTGTCTCGTATACCGCATTTAGGTTGCTCCTGTTGCTGCGCTTCATGCGAAGTACCTATGTCCCTGTTTCTAATGTTGATTCAGCGCTAACGTAGCCATATAGCCCTGCGTTATCTGTGAAAAAATACATATAAAAAAGGAAAAAAAAAGAAGAACATCGTTTCAATCTTCTTTTTGGATGCGAAAAGGATCTACCTGGTAGCGACTCCCAAACTTCTTGACGTAAGCAGGAACGGGCGTTTTTTCCAGCTTTTTTCATCATTAATATTTTGTTGCACAAATCTTGAGAAAATTTTGAGGAAAACAATCGATGACAACGCGAAAAAACATGCGGACGTTATCGCGCGGCGTGAAGACATTTACAACTGTTGAACTTGGCTCTAATCGTTTCATGAAGTTGTACCGAACCTGCTTATAAATTTTTTTATGCTCGTTGTAGAGTCGGTTTGCGTTTTTCTTGGTGCGCAAGCAGCTCAATGTGTCAGGACAATACCGAGACTTTTAATATTCTACGCCGCAAACTATAATTGAAGATGCGTATGGTTAACATAAACAACAAAAGCTGAAAACACCACAGAACCCTCGTTTTAATGTCATATAATAAAAATATAAGTAATTACTTTCCAAAGCCAAAATGCAACCTCATTGCTTTGCAGCGATTTCTATACACTTTATCTGAGTCGGTAAACGAGGTTTGTAAAACACATCTAAAACAAAACAGAAGTTTGTTGTTAAAATATTTTTGAATAGAAAAAGTAACAGGCACAGACTACGTGTCTCTTTGCTCAACATTCATAGAGAAGGGATTTTGCTATCGCAGTGGCTAAAAATTCGACGGCCGCGGCGGCAAAAACTTACGTTGCGGACATCGAGTGGAGCAACACGGGTGATTCCAACCTCATTTCACAAACTCATTTTTTTTTTACATCTCTTCTTTTTTTTTGTCGCAGTCAAGGTAAAAATAATTATTTAGTCTTGAGAAAGTCAATGCACTTATCCTGCCAGGGTTGAACAAATCTTCATTAATAGCGAAACATATCCGTCAACTGTGCTTGAGGTCAATGCTATCTGAGACCAATTTAAGCTCTTGCTACGCCTGCGAAATATTTCCCAGGGCACAATTTCTATTGAAACACAAAGCATTCTAAAAAAAAAATAATAAAACACCTTTTGCCAATAAAAAAAAAACAAAAAAAACTTTGAGTCGCATGTAATACCGTAGATACCGCGAAACAGTACGATTTCATCCGTATCCGCATCGAAAAAAGACTTCGAAGTGTCCTCAGAGATGAAGCGCATGACGGCCAAGCTCTTTGTCCACGTCAGAAAACAATAAAATTTCCGAATCGCACTCTGCGGCAGAGCGTCGAAGCCCTGCAAGGAAATGCGGAGAAACCGAAACTCAAGACGGCTGCCCGTACAGTGTTTCCAGACCGCCAAGAGGTTTCGGAACTCGCATTTACGTAGTTTCGTTTTCACGCAGAATGGTGTGGGTTTTTGTATTGCAACGTTGAGTCAAGTCATCGGAATATTTGATACAATCAAAGTGACTTTTGTTCGTCAAAACATTTCCGCCGGACATTGCAACAGAGTGACGCAAACAAAAAATAACACTAACTTTAGAATAGCAAAGTTTTTTTTTTTTTTAATATAGGTCAATTTGGTAATACATTTTTAGCTAAACTGTTCTTTTATACTTTATGATATTTGCTAAAAGATTAGTCTGGGAGTACAAACAGTACATAATTTTATTAATTGATTTTTAGGAGTTCCAATTGAGTTCTATCCACTGATTTTTGTTTTCCCCACCTGGCAACACTGGGACTCAAGATGGCGCAACGCATGTGGGGCAGGTGGAGCGATGAGTGCGACGTAGTTGCGGCCTTTGAGTTATTGGATGGTTTTGTTCAAGACAAGGCTCCTATATCGAGAACGAGCGGTTCAAATCAACGCCTCCGATTGCAGCGAAAGTATGACCGAATCACTGACCGGTCTAACTTCACAGTTCGTCCATCAAGGGTGAGTATCCACGAACGCACGGTAGCATAAGTTCAAGAAGTAGCCACAAAGCATTTTCCGAAACCACGGGCCCACAACACCCGTGCACTCTTTCTGTCTTGTGCGTTTTATCAGAGCGGAAGGGAGATAGCGAGCGCAGCCGAGAGCGGCAGACTGCGATGAACACGCGAGCTCTAGGAATAAAGTATGTGGCATCGCGCGTCTGAGGGGCCAGGATGGGGCTTTGCAGTGTGCGCGGCTACTAGGACCGTTGAGATTATTCCTCCGCAGGCATTACGTTTCACCGGTAAGTCCCACAACATAGTATAATTCGCAGTAAAGTCAATCTGTGGGCAGATCTCCAGGTTTTGCGAGGGTCAGCGAGCTGCGGAACCGCTGGATTTCGGTCGTTGATCGCGGTAGTGACTGGACCCCGTCTCACCTCCTCTTTACCTCAGTGAGTGAACAACACGGTGACCGCGATCCGCAATAAAAATAAAAGCGAACTGTTTTTATCCAGGCTGTACCTGAGTGCCGTCCGATGGCACCAAAGTTACACTGGACGGCACTCTGAGCACGTATTGGAGCGCTGTCCGAAGGCTCGATCGGCTGTAGAGGCGACCTGGGTCATCGCGCCCCGAGAAGCAGAGCCTTCCGCATCCGTATTCTGAGGAAATATGTTTCACTCGGAAGTTTCTGGATCATATCCAAGCACTTAGCAAGTCATTAGGGAAGTGTCGCGATTGTAAATTTAGAACATGTGACTATGAGCCGCTTGCCGCTGATTTCTTTGTCATAAAGTGCTTCCAAACAAGTCCACAAATCGTTTGAGCAACCTCATAATTTTTCAGGCACTCTCTGCGTTTGATATCACCACACATCGCGACACCAGCTTTGCACGGGCACTTCCAAGATGAATTGCCGTTGAAATTAGTAGGTAAGCTAGTTCAACACATTAGGACTATCTGCAGAAAACAGCTCCTTAACCAAAGCAAAGTACCGAAGTAAAAAAAGCAGACGACGGATGTCATCGGGCAGCCGCAGTCGCCGTTTGGGAATTGGGACGAGTAGAGGCGCAGAGCCCACCAGTGCCAGCCAGTCCTTCCCTGCGAACAACAGTCAACCACAAGGGATGACGGGTAGTCATGATGGGCGAGGAAGTAGACGGCAAAGGGGCAGGCGATAATGGAGGTTGGGTTGCGGAGGCTACGGAGCTAACATCATGACCCCCTGCTGCAATTCTATCCTTCCTAGTAGTAAGCATTTCTTCAGAATTCTGAATACGACACAAGTTCAACTTTGAGGGCGTCTGGTGAGCCGATACAAAACACTCTCGAGGCTCTGGCCGACCGAAAAAGGCCAGGCTGTGCTAGCGAGCCCCATCTATGAAAAGCAACAAGCTTTCATGCCATGATGCTTTTGGAGAGAAGTAGTTGTAGTTGCAATTAAATTAAAGTTTAGGCACTTTGCCCACATATACAGGATATGTGTGGGTCTCCATCGACAGGACAAGTTGCCTGCTTCTTGAAGACCTTCCATAATGATGTGCGACATTGGCAATTACCGTACGTGTGATCATGGATGCCTCCATCTCCCTGCAAAGGTAACCCATACACTGTAAAAAATTTTCACCCCATTTTACGGATAAAAGTTGCTGGTTCAATATTGCCGGTATGGTTTGCCGTAATCTGAAAACTGGACCGTCTGTAAAAACAAGGCATATAATTTCGTAAAATGACGGAACGTTTGTAGTTCACTTTACGGAGTTGTCCGTTTCCCATTTTACGGATGAAAGTTGCTGGTTCAATATTGCCGGCATGATTTGCCGTAATCTAGGAACTGGACCGTCTGTAAGTAAAATGACGGAACGTCTGTAATCCACATTACGGAGAGCTATCCGTAGGAAATATGAAAGCTGTCTGCACTAAATAACGAAGCATTATACCTTTCTGCCTTATGTAAGGCCAAAGCTACAAGCCATCCATACCACCTGCACCTCTGATACATCAAACGACCCACCCAGTAGAGCTCTAGCTCTGCCAGGGGTGTCGCCCGACGTATTGGAGGTGCAGGATTGGTGCGGATGGCCAATAGCTGTGGCTTTACATAAGGCGGAAACGTATAGCGCTTCGTTATTTAGTGCAGACAGCCTCGATGTTCAGGCAAGCTCAAGTCACATGAAGCTTTTGGGTACAGATTGGTATGGAGTTCATAGCTCCGTCATTCAATATTTCATCCTTAGACAAAACGTACAAGAGTTCATGTTTTGCAAAAGAAATAGAGCACACAACCTGTACTACACGTTGCCAGGATTTTGTTTGTGTGAGATCACTGTTCATATATATGACAGCTGAACAAACAAACCGATTAAGAAGTCTTGAAACAATACCTTTATTGGATGGTATGACTGGCTTTAAAATTGAAGAAATATAAAAATATGTTTGCCCTTGTACTGACTAGAGGCTCCTCCATGCTTGTGTTTTTGTTGTCCTTCAATTATAGACCTCCTGGATACCTTTATAGTGCATGCAAGGGCACCCTGAAATAAAGAGAAGAAGATGTTTAGAAATCAATACACAATCAAAACTACAATCGAACATGACATATATACAAACCTCCCATAAATTGAATGCAACTAAAAAGTTCAAATGATTTGAAAAACTAATACTACCAGTGCCGTGGAAAAAAATAAACTACCAAATTAAGATTGCATAATCACTGGGTGATATTAAGAACAATCAATTCAGCCACATCTCTAGTGCACCTCCTAACCTAACCTAATTCAAATTAACCCCTTAGCTTTTTCTTTTTTTTTTGGCAATTTACGATTTAAATTGCTTTATAAAATTTTTATTGCACGTGCGGCCCGTGCAGCACCTGTCTCCACCGTTGGTCACCATTTTTAAAAGCATGTGCAGTAAAACAAAACATGTGCTGCCATCTCGCCAGCCAAAAACTATGCTCTGAACGAGCCTGTGTTGTCAAAAACAGCCAAAAAGGCGAGTGAGGGTGCGCAGTCAAGCTACACTCATTTCAAATGATTTGGGGACAGCTTTAGGTGGATGAGCTAGGTTCGTCCAGGGGTTAAGAGGTTAAAGGTATAGCTTTTTGGGCATACTGGAATCTGAACCAAAATAGTACAGCAAATTATTCACTGTTGTTTCCTACACTGGCACATGCTTGTACCACTAAGTCAAACTAGCCTGAAACGGAAACTGAAGCACTTTAAGAAGTACAAGTTAGGAGCAGACATCTATAGCATTTTTCTCCCATTCATTCAGTAATCTCACTAAACTTGGGCAGAAGTGAACGTAAACTTCATTTATTTCGAAAGACATGTGCAGCGACTGGCGCAGGGTATGTGGTGAGCCTCTCCACCACCTGTAATCTCTCCAAAGCGTGACATCATTGCTGACACCCCTGGCCAACTTACTCGCGAGCAAGGGTCAGCTGACCCCACCTCCACTCTCGCGCTCTGCTGCACTCAGCGTGCTGCAACAGGTGGGGCAACTTAAAAATATTATTTGGTGATTACAACGCCCTGCTAACGAGATTTGAAGAAAACTTCCACAATAATTTTAACAAGCTCACAACAAAAAAAAAATTTTTTTTCTTTTTTTCAAGTTTAAAGGTTTTTTTTAGCTTTCCTTTAAACATGGTGCCTACAGAGTACTACATTAACCTGAAATACTAGTTCCCCTCGAATGCTTGTTATACCTGACATCTCCCCTAAGTTCAAACTTCCAACATGCATGGTATTAGTATGCATGATATCAAGAAGTTCCACTGCATATAAAGCAAAAATATGAAGAAAAAAAAATTAGCATTCCCCTCCAATGTGCAAATTTTAAGTTCAAGGCTCCAAAGGGCAATTTCCCACACTAGAGCTCAATTAAATCACTAGGGGAAAGCTGTCATTGAAATAAAAATATTAAAGAAAAGAACAGGGGCTCACCTGAGATGCGTATCTGGAAGCTGAATACCTTATTGCCCACAAAACTTTGGTACTTTAGTATTAAAAAAAAAAGGCTGCTGTATGCACACTTTCTTTGTGGCTGGAATAGACAAACAATACCACTTGTTAGAACTGAATTCTTTTCCCTCTGAAACTTTATGCTCAATCAAGCAGTGAAATTGGCACAGAGCTTCGCTACAACATGGCTGTGAATGGTAACAGCCCAATAGTCTGAAAAGCAATGTTTCAGGGCGACATGGCAAAACTACAAAGGGCATCGCAGCTAGAGCTCGGAGCTTTAGCTGAGAAGGCTAAGGATGACAGCAATGACAAGGCACCTCAGCTCCTGCTGTCTGAGGCGTTTTGCCCAGATGCCCGTGACTTCGCTGAATATTTGTCTCCTTGGGAATAGCATGACTTTGGGTGCCATAATTTATACGAGTTAAGCCACACTGAGGCAGACTGAGTAATCATGCCTGGCTTCCAAGTAGACATTTTAAGTGGATGCAAGGTGTTCAGGCTTCATTTTCATCACTTCTTCGCTCATCAAATATAAATTACCTGATAGGGATATTTTGCGGTCCAACACAGTTTGAATTAAAGGAGCTCCACTACATATAATGCAAAAAGATGGAAAAAAAAATTAGCATTCCCCTCCAATGTGCAAATTTTACAGTTCAAGGCTCCAAAGGGCAATTTCCCACACTAGAGCTCAATTAAATCACTAGGGGAAAGCTGTCATTGAAATAAAAATATTAAAGAAAAGAACAGGGGCTCACCTGAGATGCATATGTGGAAGCTGAATACCTTATTGCCCACAAAACTTTGGTACTTTAGTATTAAAAAAAAAAAAGGCTGCTGTATGCACACTTTCTTTGTGGCTGGAATAGACAAACAATACCACTTGTTAGAACTGAATTCTTTTCCCTCTGAAACTTTATGCTCAATCAAGCAGTGAAATTGGCACAGAGCTTCTCTACAACATGGCTGTGAATGGTAACAGCCCAATAGTCTGAAAAGCAATGTTTCAGGGCGACATGGCAAAACTACAAAGGGCATCGCAGCTAGAGCTCGGAGCTTTAGCTGAGAAGGCTAAGGATGACAGCAATGACAAGGCACCTGAGCTCCTGCTGTCGGAGGCGTTTTGCCCAGATGCCCGTGACTTCGCCGAATATTTGTCTCCTTGGGAATAGCATGACTTTGGGTGCCATAATTTATACGAGTTAAGCCACACTGAGGCAGACTTTGTGTAATCATGCCTGGCTTCCAAGTAGACATTTTAAGTGGATGCAAGGTGTTCAGGCTTCATTTTCATCACTTCTTCGCTCATCAAATATAAATTACCTGACAGGGATATTTTGCGGTCCAACACAGTTTGAATTAAAGAAGTTCCACTACATATAACGCAAAAAGATGGAAAAAAAAAATTAGCATTCCCCTCCAATGTGCAAATTTTACAGTTCAAGGCTCCAAAGGGCAATTTCCCACACTAGAGCTTAATTAAATCACTAGGGGAAAGCTGTCATTGAAATAAAAATATTAAAGAAAAGAACAGGGGCTCACCTGAGATGCATATGTGGAAGCTGAATACCTTTTTGCCCACAAAACTTTGGTACTTTAGTATTAAAAAAAAAAGGCTGCTGTATGCACACTTTCTTTGTGGCTGGAATAGACAAACAATACCACTTGTTAGAACTGAATTCTTTTCCCTCTGAAACTTTATGCTCAATCAAGCAGTGAAATTGGCACGGAGCTTCTCTACAACATGGCTGTGAATGGTAACAGCCCAATAGTCTGAAAAGCAATGTTTCAGGGCGACATGGCAAAACTACAAAGGGCATCGCAGCTAGAGCTCGGAGCTTTAGCTGAGAAGGCTAAGGATGACAGCAATGACAAGGCACCTGAGCTCCTGCTGTCGGAGGCGTTTTGCCCAGATGCCCGTGACTTCGCTGAATATTTGTCTCCTTGGGAATAGCATGACTTTGGGTGCCATAATTTATACGAGTTAAGCCACACTGAGGCAGACTTTGTGTAATCATGCCTGGCTTCCAAGTAGACATTTTAAGTGGATGCAAGGTGTTCAGGCTTCATTTTCATCACTTCTTCGCTCATCAAATATAAATTACCTGAAAGCGATATTTTGCGGTCCAACACAGTTTGAATTAAAGAAGTTCCACTACATACAACGCAAAAAGATGGAAAAAAAAAAATTTGCATTCCCCTCCAATGTGCAAAATTTACAGTTCAAGGCTCCAAAGGGCAATTTCCCACACTAGAGCTTAATTAAATCACTAGGGGAAAGCTGTCATTGAAATAAAAATATTAAAGAAAAGAACAGGGGCTCACCTGAGATGCATATGTGGAAGCTGAATACCTTATTGCCCACAAAACTTTGGTACTTTACTATTAAAAAAAAAAGGCTGCTGTATGCACACTTTCTTTGTGGCTGGAATAGACAAACAATACTACTTGTTAGAACTGAATTCTTTTCCCTCTGAAACTTTATGCTCAATCAAGCAGTGAAATTGGCACAGAGCTTCTCTACAACATAACTGTGAATGGTAACAGCCCAATAATCTGAAAAGCAACGTTTCAGGGCGACATGGCAAAACTACATAGGGCATCGCAGCTAAAGCTCGGGGCTTTAGCTGAGAAGGCTAAGGATGACAGCAATGACAAGGCACCTGAGCTCCTGCTGTCGGAGGCGTTTTGCCCAGATGCCCGTGACTTCGCTGAATATTTGTCTCATTGGGAATAGCATGACTTTGGGTGCCATAATTTATATGAGTTAAACCACACTGGAGGCAGACTTTTTGTAATCATGCCTGGCTTCCAAGTAGACATTTTAAGTGGATGCAAGAAGGTGTTCAGGCTTCATTTTCATCACTTCTTCGCTCATCAGATATAATTTACCTAATAGGGATTTTTCGTGGTCCAACAGGGTTTGAATTAAAGAAGTTCCACCACATATGAAGCAAAAAGATACTTTTATAATAAAAAAAAAAAAGTAAAAGTTGGCATACCTTGCCGAAGGTTCTCACTTCACGTCCTTCATAAGGCGCAAAATTTTTGGATGCACCAGGCCCCGTCTGTAGCTGTCTCTTTTGCTACCCTTTGGAGGGTTGATGCCGCAGATCTGCCTGTAAAGTTATCAACCATGACACAAAATACATTTGCAGAAACAGGTTACGGTTTAATAACAAGAACCGCCTACTGTAACTAGTGGTTATAAGTTGCGCCACATAATTTTTGTTTCCCTTCCATTTGCAGTGATGTCTCATTAATATGGACACCTCTGTACCCTTGAAAAGTTACCCACATTGCGAGTTGTCTATAATAATGAGACAAAAATGCTTGTGTTCACCCATTTCACGTCCTAAAACATTGTCCATATAGAGGTATCTATATTAACAGAGTTTATACGAACGAGAAGTCACCGTACTCCAGAACAAGGGTTCTCAAACATTTATATCTCCAGAAACCCCACCTTGGATAGAAGCTGATGAATCTTTCATAGTAATAAACAATAAAGCAAACACGAAGGAGTGTTTCACCTGGATTTGTGTCAGTGGAGGGCCCAGATCTGCTAAGATACTGCTTAAACTAGAAAAACACTTTGCCTAGGGGTAGCAACAATCAAGGATATCTGGGAGCTTTGGAAACCCACAAAAGGTGTGCAGGGAAACACTTGGTTTCCCAGGAACCCAATTTGAGAACTCAAGCTCCGAAAAATAGCTGCACCTAGTTTAGAATCCTACCTTAAAGACTGGTCACATTATAAAAATGAAGAAATGCTTAGTGCTTCTGGAATTAAAAACGAAAGTCCAGTTCACTTGCCTCTGGATGAACTCCAGTGTTGCCTCTACATCTCTCGGGTAGACCATGTTGAGGACGTAATAAGCACAAAAACGAAGGCATGCCGCCTCGTGGAACTCAACTGGTTCATCGAACAAAATTTGCTGCTCAACTACCACCAAGCAGCTTCGACTGAAAATGCTTCCTGCACAAACAATGTAGGTGTGCATTTAATTTATTTCATTCCTTGGCACATACATCATTCCCAAAAGCACTTTTCCTTTAATCTCATACTATTCTTCAAAGCAGAATCTCGTCCCTGGATCATGATACTAAACAACTTTTCGTGGATTGTACACAGCAAGTCATTGCTAGCATGAGCTTGTCATCACTTTGAGCATGAATTGAGAATGCGTCTGCCATTTGCAATGTGTGATCTACGGAAAGTCTCTATTGCGCCAGGCTTCGAGCCATTTCATTGTCAAAGTGGCACGCATTATTTATAAAACTTTCTTTATTTGCCTTGTTCCAGAGAACACAATCTGTTCTTGCTTAATCAGGATTGTTTATTCATATTAGTAGAATTGTCAAATAATAAGATTCACACAATGGATTGAATCGCAATTTTCGTCCGTGGACCAGTTATCACATGACCCATCATGTCATTGATTTCTGTGATCTGCACCTTGTCCGCAGACTCACTGACTGGAATAGGCGAGCACCTTATCTGTGCGGATTTTCGGCAAGTGATTGACTTGAAAGGCATCTACAGCAATTTAGAAACAGTACAATAATCTTTCTGTTTTCGAATGATGGTGCACCATTGTGTTCTGCCCATTCACCACTTCAGTGGTTCTCAAATAGGGGTCCGCGAAGCCACTTCTGGGGTCCGCGAGACCCTCAACAAAAAAACATTTTTTTTTTATTTGGCTTGTTTTGATGAACTGACCAAAATGAAGTGATGTGGCACCTTTGTTTTATGTTTTTCTGCTACGTAGCAATAAAAGGCACCTGTTTCATGCTCCAGATGTGTTAACGTACTTACTAATGTCCCCTCCCTTCCCCTTCGCCCTCCCTGGAAGGGGTCCCCCGTCACTGCCAGCGGTCCGCAAGGGGTCCCCGACACATCCATGGCTGAGAACTACTGCACCACTTCATTTTGTTGCCCCAGTCTTGGTTCCACACGTGAAAGAAGCTGCAGGACATTTGCCCAGCCGACACGCCGCAGATTCTGGTACCCCTTTGGGTCAGTGTCAAGAAGTTTGTCAGAACTTGTTTAGCACACCGCAGTCTTTCCCGCACGTCCATCCAGTTTTTCATCCAGCAGCAAGTTTCTTACGGCTGTGGTGTTAAGTATTGTGCTCAGTCGTGCGGTCATCGCTTCTACACCAAAACCTCTTTGAGCAGGACCATACTTGTGTCATGCATTGGATTAGTGAAGCTAATGGTGCTTTGGGCTAAGCCTGTGAAGACACTCCATCTCGCTCGGTGCGTAACGGCAGCAACAATTCTGTTTCATGATAGTGTCGTGACCATAGCAACAACTGTTGCTGTCGCTTCCACTCTTGGAAAACGGTGCCACAGTGGGATGCTAGTGTTTCACGAAACTACGGGGTCATGAATAGATTAAGTCTGTCCTCGCTGTCGCTCCTTTGTCGTCTCCTCCGTGCGGATGCGCTTGGGAGACCGACGATCTGCAGATGTCTTGTCATGTGATCAATCCATCCATGGATTAGTCCATCGTGTGAATCTGTCATAAGTGGACTGTGGAGTCTCCACTCACTCAACATTTCTCTTGATGTGCCTGGCACATCATGAAATTGTTTCTCGCATCCAATCAGACTTTCTCAAAGAAACAAGGAAGCTGTATAATGATTTTGAGTTATTCATCCTAGGGTGCAGTAGCACCTTCCACACCACTGAATATTATGTACAGAGTAGTATACAATTCCAAGCTACAAGACCGAGTTATAGGAAGTAAAAAGAAAGAGAAAGATGGGACGGCATATCTTTTCATGCTCTCATTTTGTTCCAATTTTATCGTCAGTCCAATATTAAAAGGCTTTCATAGTAAAACTGAAAGTTGTATACCACCTACCTTCCTCTCTCTCTCTCAACCTCCTGACTACCAACTCAACCAGAAAATTACCCCCGCTTCGCCCTAATAACCCACAACAAAAACTATTGGCTACCACATTGCCTTAAGACATGCCGTAATTGTACTGTGCAAGTGAAAAGCTTTTGGACTAAGGGACAAAAAAGAGCTAAAAAACTGACAAGCATGGCCGTAGCCTAATTTTCACTTCTGCACCGTACAAGAACAGTTAATTTCTATTAGAAAGGTAGAAAGGCCCAAGGCTATCAGGTTGCTCACCGACAGCAACCACCATGGGGGTGCATGGAAGGGAGGGCAGCTGGTCTGTAATGCTATTTCCTTCCTGGAAGTTGCAATTAAGACTTGTGAAGAAGTATTCCAACAATTGCAAAAAAACATTCTTTCTCACACCGTTAGGTAATGTAGGATAATCATAGCTTGCAAATTCACCCGACTGCTTTTTCTGTGCCATAGTGCCCTTTCTTCATTCATTTCAGATTAGGATAGATTCTTGCACCTAGAATTCATTGAAACAACTGTATACTTGCAACACATACCTCAAGTACCTGCACCAGGATTTCAGTCTTTTCTTTGAAATAGCATGCCAATTGTGGCAGTAGCACTTTTTCTTTTGCCATGACCTCGCCACGCTTCTCTGCCTCTTCTGCTTGGACAGACCAAAACAAAAGCTCCCTGTTTGGGCTCTTTACAAAGTGCCTGCCTAACAGCGCAGTGCATAGCTTCAGTCCTTCAGCAAAAGTTTCCTGGAAAGGAATAGCGCATAAATCTAGGAAGAACATTGTTAACATTGTTTATAGTTCATTTTCCTTTAGCTGATCTAACCCAGTTACCGTAAAATCCTTAAAGGGATGCTGAACCCAAATGTTGATTCCACAAAACACGGGGTAAAAGCGTGCAACGGGATGCCACAAACACCAGGACATCACTCGTACAGCGATATCTCAAACGGATGACCAAATTTTTCAAGAAAAGGAGGCGCATTTGACAGAGATGATGTCGTCATGTTTCTCCGAGGAGAGGGAACGGCCTCGCGTCTTCTCCGCCTCGCAGCCTTGAGGGAGCGAAGCGAAGAGAGGAGGAAACTCGATATAATGATGTCACGCACCTCGTCGGCCTGGTTCAATCTCGACCTCTTTTTTCAAAAAATACGGCCATCCATTTGAGATATCGCCTTATGAGTAGTGGTGTAGGGATTGTAGCGTCCTGCCTACATTTCCTGCATTGTTTTTTCTGAAATACAAATTTCGGTTCACCATCCCTTTAAAGAGTGCCCACCACCAAGGGATCACACATCCCGATTGTTTGGCAAAATATTCGTAACATAAAAACTCCAAAACCTCACCCATGCCCGAATTCCTGTCGATGGGAATCACATGAACCACGCGATCTGTGGTATCGGTATGTGTGACAAGCGAGTTTGTAACGGGTTCTGCGTCCTCCTCTGCGATCTGCATGTGCAACATCTGTTCCCGTAACATACGAGTGCTTAGTGAGTTTCCGCAATTATCTGCGATCTGTGTGCGTGATATTGGTTTCAGTGGCATGCAAGTTTTCATCGTGGCAAGAGCGCAGGACTTCGTAGCGGATTCCCACATGTTTACAATTTTGTGAAACGCGAATTTGCAGTGTCCATAATATGCAGTATTGGTTCCCATGTCAAGTGATTTGAAGCAGTGTTCATCAGTAATATTTTAGGATATTTTGCATCTTATTCCCAAAGACAGGCGACCGACCTTATGTTTTTCACTATTTATCCCTTCATTTTGGTTGGGTGCCCTTTCGGGATTTTACGGTAGTGGTAAATATGGTGTGCAAATTAGTTAGCATAAACATGACATTAATGATTTCCTACTTTCCTAAAACAGGTTATAGAGAGACGACAAACTGTACCCAATACCAAGTTTTCACCCCTAAATGAGCACATCCCATTCACTTTTACAAAAGTAAAAGTGAATGTAGAGTGCTGTTTTTCAATGGAAAGTGCTGTTTTTCAATGGAGAGTGCTGTTCACTTTAAACTTTTTATAAATTAATTGTAAGCTGGCTGCTGTCAGTAAACTATCTGGTGTTGGGCATTTATGCGCTATTTGCTATTGAATAGCTGTTTTTGAAGATCATGAGTAAAAATAATAGAAGGCAAGTTGCTCACAAGCATGTCCTTTCCCAGCAGGGTCTTCACATGTGCATAAAACATGGGTTTATGAAAAAGGAGAGGCCACTCCTCCTTCACGTCCCTCGCAGAGTGTATGGGATCCACACTGTTGATATATGCTCTTTGATCGCCATACGTAGCTGTTGAAAGTTCCATTGCCCGGGACAAATCGAGGTCCTTCGTTGCCTTGTGCGCTTCTCTCTTCATCCACTCCTTGCTTTCATTTGAGTCATGGATGTCTCCCTCGCCCGACAACTGGAGTTGCCAATTCAAGCAGCCATACGAGGATTTAGAACTTTTTCTCTTTGGGCGAGATTCTTCTGCTTCACGAGCTGACAACCGCTTTCCCCGGCTTAGGTTTTCTATCCGGTTTTCTAGTTGATAGAGAAGCGAATCATACCCTGTGCCCATCTTCTGTCCGTCAATCCCTCGATCCTCTAGTGATGCCGGAAACATCTTTACAAGTCCTTCGGCCACACACCTGGCGCAGTCTCTCGAGGGCCGCGATGACTTTCGCATTAAGCCGTTTACGACAACCCTGACAAGCTCTAGCCGGTCCCTGGTCATTAGTGTTTTCCCCGCTGCTAATGCATCCTGTGCGCTGCGTGGGAATTCCAGTTGTAAAATAAAACTGGTTGTCTCCAGTTCGGGCTGTTGTTGAACTGAGAGCCTTTTTTGCTGCATGGCAGATGTACCTGCATGAAAGGGGCACTGACACATCAAAATCATATTTTTGTCTATGATCCGAAAAGATTGAAAATGATGCCGGGACATTACCCTCAAAATTCGAAACTTGGGAATTCAGTATTTGTGAAGTAAGAAAAAACAATTTCCGAATGCCAAATTTGAAGTTCCCGCACGATCCGTGCCAGTGCAGTGAGTAAAATTTTGCGGTTTCCTGCGACTCGACTTTCAATCGGGCCTCCGCTCCACGCTATCAAAGCGCCGTTGCCACGGCGACCCGAAGCGAGGAGCAGGTGAGCCGGCGGGATAGAAGGGCGCTGGCACGAGAAAAGACCGGTTTCTTCCCGACTCGCCGACAAGCCTCTGCTCGAGCATTGCCAAGTTTTCGGAGGGAGGATACAAATCCAGGAAGCGACATCACACTGAAATCTGATTTTTGGTATTTCAAAAAGAGGGGCCATAGAGTTTTCGCAGTTGCGCTAAAAAACATGTTTTACGATTGCCGTTATTAAATGTTATAGAAATGTCGCCTACAAAGCTTCTAAATTTCCTGATTTTTGACATCACCGATCAAAAGAAACCAGGAGGTGAGCGCGGGAAATATAAACGCCAAAAATGAAAAGGCGCGCACGCGAGCAAGGAAACTTTTTTTTGCGATGCGTTTTTTTTTTGCGTGTCTGACTATAACTTGCATCGTTTTAGACAATAAAAAATAATACAACCTTTGGGGTGTCAGTGCCCCTTGAAGCCATACCATACCAATCACAATCCAACAGTTTTGTTCCCTTTATCTCAACAGGTGGAGGAAAGAAAAAGTCTGGCACTGGCACAAGTGCAGACAGTCGTGATACGTGAAACCATTAATTTATTTTCCTTTCTCATTCACTGTTTGAAATTATGTTACTGTAAGGCCTAGTTTTCTTCCTAACACTGCATTTCTAAGTAGCACGTTTAGAGCTATAACTATATTTATATTTTTATTGAGGTGCTGACTTACTCTCTTCTAGTTCATAGCATAATTTTAAAATGTGAAATTGATTGAAAGGAAACTGGTTTACTTACACATGTATATCATAATTGAACACACATTTAAGTTTTCCTGATGTAAATTGCAACATATCTATTCAGTTACTCTTTCACTGACTAGACATTACAGATTAAATACTTAACCAGCTGACTTGCACTTGACCTACCATGTGCAACTACTGCTTTTCTGATGTGAGACCTAACAAGTACCAAGCCCAATGTTTTTTGTGGTTATGCCCAGTTTTTGGGTGGGTGCTTGCTTATTATTTTATGGCATGCTTGGATCAGCAAAATTCAATCTGGAACATCATGCACAAAAGAGATACCTGCTTGTGTTTCCTCAACCGCTTTGCATGGAGGTTTTTCTGCCACAATGAACACTCTTTGTTCGAATGGCAGTTCCAAAAGCAGTTCACCAAATTCATCATCATCAAGTTCAGTCCAATCTTGCAGAAACACCTGTCAAAACAAATAATCTTATGGAAGTAACTGGATGATAAAAATAGCATTGTCTTACCTTAGACTTCTCTGAAGTGCATACGTCTTTTTCTTTAGCAAGTGTTAGAACGTCGCTCATCGTTCTCACATTTCCTACTTTTCGCACCGAGAGGTCTGCGCTCCATATTTTAACCAGCGGCATCACACCTGGGAAAAGAGAACCGTTATATTTTTGTTCAATTATAATTTTCACAGTGCCACTATCTTTGGAAACTTGGCCACATCTCCTGCAGTGTGGTCCAAAAGATGTTTGTTTACGCTTTTTCAAGGGCCTTCATTTGATTTAGCACCATATGATTGACCATAATGTATACCTAGTTTAACAACCTGCCACAAAAATTAATGTGGAATGAGAATGAGATTGGATATCTTTCAGAGTTTGTTTTGGACACAGACTTTGATGCTATGCACACTACTGTAACTTAGATGATCTATTATAACTCTTACTACTGAGATTTTATTGGGAATTTTAAGATTCAAGACACAATTGTGATTAAAAAGGATCTTCAGTCCTTTACTTTGGCATGCTATTGGCGTAAAGATCTAACTACCATAGAATACTGTGCATCCGCCCATTCCAGTCTAAGTGCCAATTCCCAATTTTGTAAGATATGAGAAAATATGCCAGTACATTGATACGTAAAATTGGTGACCGGACAAGTGTTCATCCCCCATTTTTTCGTATTTATCTCTAAAGTTTGAGTGGGCGCTAGCCTGATATTTTACGGTTAAGAAGCGCTTTGTCCATCGAACACAAAAACGCGTGAATAAGATTACCTTCCTCAAATTTTTATTGTCCAACGCTGTATCAGATACCAACAAATAATTCTAGCCCTTGTTGCCCCAATGAGTTGAGTTCTCAACTTGGCCACTAGCGGCTCGACAGTTAGATCCCCCCCCCCCCAATAGTCATGAACAGAATAAGAATATCAAGATCCATCAATTGTGCCACCTTCAGTGCGAGCTTCCTACCTTAAATGACAGCTGGGCGGGCTTGCTAGAAACAGCGTCTTGGCTGAGACTGTGTGAAAGAAAACACTGCCAAAGCCAGCACACAAGCTGAGCGGGATTCAAACTGTGTCTCAAGACGCTCGTGTGCCCCAGCCTTTGCAGTGCTTTTATCCACCCAGTCTTAGCTGAGATGCTGTTCTAGCAAGCAGGCCCTGGAAGTCTGGTAAGCTTTGAGCGTGTGTATAGCCAATGCATGAGGAAAGCCAAAGAGCGCATGCATACAAAAAAAGGGGCCCCGAGCTTCTTTTCCTGTCGGTGACTGGAGATGCACATTAGGAGTGTGGCAAGCACATCCTGAGAATTTAGCTTTTTCATCTGGAAGGCACCTTGTCTGTGATGTGGTATCCCTGTATAGGGTGCTCAGCACTTTTGTTTGTTAAGGGCATGAAATAAATATATTGCATGGATCAAGGCATTGAAAAGCTCTTCAGATAGAATCCAACCCAGATGTTGAAGGGGAAGGGATAAGGAAAGGGAATGAATTGGCAGAAAACTACCTACTACTGCAGCCTGACAAATCATTAAGGATTCAAGGCAATGTGTCAGTTTGGGTTTTGGGGGCACAATAAAGTACCCGACTGAATCAATGCCCACTTCTGTAAACAGAACTTATAAAAAATGGTGTGGTTCCTTTTTGTTTTTATTAGACCAAGCAATCACAAAGGAGCACTCAGAATTTCTCTGGAAACGCAAAATTAAGTCTTATAACTTTACTGTGACCAAGCGAATATGGCCGGTAAGATGTTGAATCAAGAAGCTTTTCTTGATTGAGAAGAACTAAGTCTCCAGTTGGATCCTGAAGACTGTACAAGCACATAGCTGGCAAGAGAGTAGCTGGTACACATTGAAGCAGAAATGCTACCTCTCCCGAGGCATTGGACCTAATGCTAGTCACAACTCCAAACATTATTTCAAAGCGATTGCCTGAAATGAGCACATAGTCACCAATTACATAAGTTGTCCCCTTAACGACAGCCTTTTCATAAAACGTCAAATTTCTTGCTGATTCTACATCTGCAAAGGCATGAGAAAGCTGAGACACTTCATCTGGCTGTTTGTGAGCTTTCGCGCCATGAAGCTCGACATCTGGCGGAAAGAGACCGCGGGAAGTCAAAAATGCCTGAAAGAATTGGTGCCTTTCGCTTAGCGTTTTGGTCACATTTTTAAAATTTTTTGTTGAACGAATGCAATTTTTGAAGTACTGGTGTTTGCTTTCGAATCTGAGTTTCCATACGTGAGACAATGGGCCAAACTCTTGGATGAGGTCACCATAGTGCAACATATAATGATGCTTCGGCCTCAGTTTGACATCAGGAAAAAATGCTTTACGGTTGTGGATGTACGTCTGAATTAAGACCTTGAGGTAAGCAACCTGTGCATATGTTATTTTAGGAGCCATTAGCAAGTCAACTAGTTCCATTAACTCAAGACTTAACTGCCACACAGAGTCGCTTGGATCAATCACTTTATCCCCTACATACAGCGGCAGCAGCCGCAGGAATGTCCAGTTTTGCATGGCGTGGCCTGCAAGCTTATCACTCTTGCTGCTCACCTTACATGGCCTGTTTCTCAGGTCCCGTGCACTGTACTTCAGAGCCATAATCTTTATGTTTAAGTAGTCATAAGAAAACCACCCTTTGCGCACAAAGTACCTAATGAACAAGGGCAGATCACACTGAACTACACCTTCAAACATATCATGGCCAATACATGGTGGTAGGCCAGCTTGACATACGTGAAAGCTGCTTAGCACGTTAAAAGGTGACTCGCACACAACACCATACATGCCACATCCTTCGTCGTCATGTGTAAAGCAAGTTTCATAGTTTTCCACAGACCTCCTTTCACCTGTCAGGGTGGGGTCTTCATGAAATTGTGTACGAGTAACCAGGCAAAATCTGCAAAAATATGCAGACGTGCTAAAATTTTGCGTGAACCCACCAACTGCATGGCTCCCTAAATTATCCCCAACAATGAAGCACAGCTGCACTCTGTAAAGCTTCCCTTTGACCTCCAGACCCACACGTTCTAGGTAGCACAGATCATCAATCAACGGTTGAAGAATTTTCTTCAACCCAAACTCTTTTACATTTTTTTGAAGAGCAAGCAACACAAGCTGCATACTCTCAGTACGAGCCCTACAGTGTTGTGGCAAATTACCGAGCGTCAAATACACGCCCAATAACTTAAAGTTTCCCTTTGCAGACCCCAAGGGATTTGACAATTCAAATTCATCTTGATATAAGATGACTTGTATAACATCGTCAGAGGACTGAAATTGTTTGCATGTTGTGAAGTCAGTGAAACATTCATTGATTTCATTTGACCTATGAGGTTCCTGGGGCAAGTTGGACATCAACAGAACTATCAACTCATGCACAGGCACATAGTGGAAAAAAGAAGGGAAGTTCTGCTTGTTGGTACCAAGGTTAATCTGAACTGGCTTTACGAAGTGAAAATGTTTCTTAAAGTACTTGTGTCTCAGGTACGATGATTTCAGACTACCTGATGTTACAATGTCAAGCTCATTGTTCTTAAAATGACAAAGCACCAATTCTAGCGTATCACTAAGAAGGATTTTGGCAAGCTCTTCTTCCACGAGTTTCTGACTAAGCTTTTGGAGGTTGTCAACTTCGCTCACAATATACTGTACAGTATCTGCAGGGATATGGTGTTGGGCTTCTAATCGGAAGAAGAACAATGCTGCATTGTCTCTAAAAAGTTCATGATCCGAGACGTCACTTTGATCACAGGGCTCTTCAGGGCTGCTTTCTTCGGCAATGTCCAGTACACCACTTGGGTCATGGGACTCTTCAGGGCTTTCCTCAGAAATGTCCAGCGGGGCACTTGGGTCATAGGGCTCTTCAGGATTTTCTTCAGCGATGTCCAGCGAGGCATGATCTTTGGAGATGCGGGCTGTTGGATCGTCCTGTGCAGTATGGCAGAGCTCCAAAGTGTCCTTCTGTGGGTGATGATAACGTGAAACATGCATTCTAAAGGCATTTCGCGTGCTGATCTTGCTGATGCACCCCGTGAAGGGGCACACAATGGGCTCTTTTCCCAACTTCAGGTGGTCAGATATATGAGAGATCATCCTTGATCGTGTTGCTACTTGCTGGGTACATTTTGCTACTGGGCATATTAACAGCCTGGTTTCCGAAGGCACCTGACTTTGTTTGTGTGCCCTGTTTAAATGGCTGATGAAAGTTGCATAGCTTTTGAATGTCGCACCACAGCTTGATGCAGGGCACAAAGCGCCACATGTTAAGCTACTGTGAAATCTGCAGTGGTTAAAATAGTTCACCAACGTGGAAAAACAACGTCCACAGATTCGACAGCGGTTCATCGAAGATTGATCCAAGTACAACCTGGAAAAAATAGAGCATTTTCAACTTAATGTGGGCGCAAATGGACGAGTTAATGTAGAACGCAAAATTCTTCATTCTTCTACTACAGCTTGCAAGTGAAATAGTGCACAATTCTGGAGGTGATGCTTGGAATGAGCGTCTACATTATGCCTTCGATGCCCCAACCGGAGCGTTGTGCCATCCTCTCAATGCTGAGTCAAAGCTTCGAGGCCGAGTGCTCTGCCTCCGATTCAGAGGTCAACTTGGGCTGTCTCCTTGATCTACCGACAACAGCTTCAGTGACGTCATTAGTTCCATTCTTCAGTTTATTCTTTTAGCTTCGTTCTTCAAAAGCAAGGATGGGTAGTTCTCATTACTTCTCCAAATATAGGGGCCCCTACGGCGTAGTATATAACATCTTCATTCTTCTACGTTGCCCAGATAGAAAAAATTAAACCTTATTTTTCGGCCTGCATTAAAAGCTACATGTCGAAAAGAACTCTAACTCTGTGCGAATGTCACGCTAGTGGCGGTGATAAAATGCGAAAAATTGGGCACACGATGTTACCTGGATGAAAACACCAAAACATAACAAAGATTCTCTATGAGCTGTATGTCTCCCGAGGCTTAACATTCATCAAAGCGATAAAAATTGTGGGCGCCTGTGGCATTTATTTCACTAGAAAAATGTGTTAGCCCAAAATATAACCTTGTTTTCTTTCCTGCCACTTTACTTTGTTTTTTTATTGAAATATATGCTCTAGGCACCCACAATGCCTTTTCTTGGTTTGATGATCTTGTTCCTTTCTCTTCATGAATCCTTTGTTTCTACTCGCACGGTTTCCACCATGAACACTTACCAACTCGCCCAACTTTCCCAAGTGGACGCTTGCTAATAAAGAGATTTTGTTTTTCGAATTTAGCTTTCGATTCAGGGATCTACTCTTAAAATTTTGCATTCTATCACCACCCATTCACACAGTTTCACTTCTCAGCAATACATAGTCTATGTGAGCAAAAAAAAACTGCATTTTCTCTATCAAAACCTTCGGGTCAGGTACCGTGCTGCTGATCCATGTTATGAACTGAAGCATGCTTATACAGTCGATCATGCTTTCATTTCTTGAAGCTTGTCTTGAATCATTTGAAGTGTTGGTTTTGATGCTGTTTGGTGATGTTCAGGAAAACCGTAGTCTCATAAGTGACCAAGAAGTGATACAGTAGCAAAATGTCACACGTCTTGAGCTTTCATCTCGTCAGGGATAGAGCACAGAAAGGCATACAGCAAAGTGCCGGGGGAGCGCCCATCCCACTTTCACTGAAAACTGAGGTCCGGACAAATTGGGCAATTAACGTATAATTTTCAGAATTCCCAAATTTTGGAAATGTTAATAGTAGTCACTTGAATGAAGTGGGCGCTTCTGCGGTATTTTACAGTATGCAAAAAACATGGAGATATATGTAAAAAATGTCAAATACTGTAAACGACTTATTTTTCCCTGGCTCAATATTTCGCGATTTCGGTCAAGGCTGAAGTTTTGGAATAATTTGCGGGTTCTAATTTTAGCGATGCAGTGGGATCTCAATATAGATTCCTATATGTTTAGATTTTGCTGGCATCGTTCGCGGGACCTATTTTAGCGAATTGTAGGCGATTCGCGAAAATTAGGTTCTTGCAAACATTAAGGTGTTTACAGTTTAGGTGGTGTTTACTGGATGCCATATTTGAGGTAAATGCTCACAGCACATGCTCAGAGGGCGTTTCCCGTCAGCTCTCGGGCAGTGACAAGAGAAGAAGCGAAGGAGAAACTCTCTTCTCAGTGGGACTTTGCTTTGTATGTCCCAGACTTCCCCAGATGTCACTATTCTCACTCTAGAAGATTATAGAAGATTAACTTTCACTCAAAATTTGTACAGAAGCATCTTTCCCCTCTTTCCGTTCCCTGGTGGTAAGAAAGCAGCAGCGAGCTCAGCTATGACCGCCAGTGAATACAACCTATACCATTATAGAGCAGATATATCCATGCTTTTTAAATATTTGACTATGGACAAGCATGTTTAATTTCAGATGCATATTATTTCATGAAAACAAATTTCTGAAATTTCGTGAGTGGCTCGGGAGCAGAACACTTCAGAACTAAACAAACCCATGCAATTAAAGCAGCAATGTGCCGCCCAGTTGCCTGTGGTTCTGTCTGTTGACCAAAACACGTATTCAAGTAAGCTTAGTGAGAAACACACTGGAAAATCGCAGTAATCAACACAAGTCATAAATTTATATTTCAACATTTTTGCGACTTTGTAGAAGCCACAAAAATGGGTATCATTTCGTTTTTATTTTTAATACTGAGTGTGGCCTTCGATGACCCACTGCTTAGCTTATATTTGATGGTTGTGTCAAAACCATAAAAAATGGCATGTGACTACAGAGAAGAGAGTGAGCAAGACTCGAACCGGCCAGCTCTCGATCGGCGATTTTCAGGCGCAAAGAAAAATTTTGAGCCAGAAATTGTGTTCTGGGTAGTTAGGCTCTCATATGTCATGTACAAATAAAAACCTTGGCGAGCATCAATACCCTGTCAGAGTACCTTCAAGAATTGGCGTAGTACTAACTGCCCATCACTCAGATAAAAGCCAGCTTCCCAGGACAAATTTCTGGAAGTAAGAGCTGACTATTTCTCCCTTTTTCTCTGCTTCAAAACGCTCTCTATCTTTTCAGTATGATGCACCCGCAGTGCCCAAGCATGTCAGCGGAAACCAGCTCACAAACTGGACATGAGCACAACATTTTTCTGATGCTAGCATTCATCAACAATTTTTGAACAAACACTTATATTTGCTTTCTCGGCCAATGAGTACCATGACAGACATTTTTCAGAGCCATGCCCCGTCTATATATAATTACAACAAGTTCGATGGTATGTATAAAAAGCATAGTGGAAGCAACCAACAGTGTCAAATTCGACAGTCTGGGATTACTCTTATTTTCGTCGATGACAGCAAAATTAGTGACCAGTCTAGGACACTGAGCAGGAGGCCATGTTTGACAAATGTTTTGTTGCTCCTAAAAATAAACGAAGTGACGGAACTGACGATATGGCGTCAGATTGGTTACAGGGTCAAGTGTCAGAAGTTCTCTTTCGTTATTTGAGCCTCTAGCCAATCAAACGTGATATTGTCTCTTCCGTTTCTTTTTAGGAGAAACAAAACATTTGTCGAACATAGCACCCTAGGTCAGCAAGAAGGCTGTCACAGCAGCTCAACATTTATCGACGACTGCATCGGGCGCAAGGAACACGGAGGCTAACCTTGCTAAAACACCTAGATGTTTTTGTTAGTTTTGCAAGGGGCGTCAAAGCACCAGTGCACGAAGTGGTACAAGCGCCAGTGCAGTACTTCAAAGCAAATGGCAGTGAAGCCCTGAAATAAGAGGCGCTTGGAAGTGAACGGCAGCACAGCACTCGCTCATAGCACGTGTTTCTCGCGTTCGTGCGGCCATCGTTGTTGGCACGGGAAACTGCAAGATGCGGCACGCCGTGCCGCGTCTTGCAGTTTCCCGAACAGACGTGACCTGACGAGAGCTCCCAAACCTCCTCTTTGCCCACGCGCTTCTCGTCGCCAGCTCGCCAGCGGGGATCCGACGTCAGCAAGCGCCAGTTCACCCATGCATTCTGATTGGCTTGCGGCGAGTGGAAGTTTTTTTTTTCGGCGTTCAAAATTGGTCTTAGAGCGATTTTGCTCTCTGCCGGAAATCCTGCCTGCTTTTGTCGCCCGGCATCAGAATTCTCCTGAATCTGGCCACCGGTTCGCAAGTCTGAACGAGGCTGAGGCCCGCTTCAGACGGGGCAACTTTTCCAGCAATTTTGAGGTTGCTGGCGGGTTGTTTCCTAGCTTTCCCTAGATCAACACGAATTGCTGAGATCAAGTTTGGCTCGAAATGGACGAACAACTCTAACAACTCTAAGACGTTTGAAGCGGCAGCGGCCAATCAGGGACGCAGTATTTTCATGCGACACCTCTGTGGTGGTGGTGATGACAGCTATAGGCTTTGTTCTGGTTTGAAATAGATCGTTTCTGGAAATAAACCTTTCAGAAAGATGAGTTAGTATTCTCAATGCCATTCAAAGATATAAAAACACGTTTTTAGCGCGTAGCTGTGCATCTAAATAGTGCAAGAAAAATCAAATTGCATGATGAGGATGACAAGTCGTAGCAATTCGGTTGCCGCGTGTGAACAAGGGCGGCCCGTGTTGCTGGTGTTGCGACGTCAAGTTGCTGGGTGAAATTGCCCCGTCTGAAGCGGGAATGTTCCGAGTGGCTTGCGAGGACGAAAATTGAGACTAAACACGACCTCCCGCAGTTGAAGCAAATGGCCCTCGGCCTGTGAGGTTCAAATACGAGTGCCAACCCGCTAGCCGGTATACCTTTAGCAGTCATGAATTCTGTAAAACACCGCCTAGCTAGGTGCCACCAAGCCGCCACCCGATAGAACTCCTTGATACACTCACCAAATGCCTCGCTCGGCCCTCGCTGCCTCTGCAGGACTTCCTTGCCGAAAGCTCGAGGTTCATTCAACGCACGGAGCACGTGTGCGACGAAGAGCCACCACACGTTTCTTTTTTGATACACGCTTCCTGCACACACAAGAACACGTCATACGCTCCGAAAAAAGGAAGGAAAACGTAAGACGGATGGGCGAGCACTTACCGATTAACTTCACGGTTGGTTCGATGGGCACGGCACGCCGGCACACGGGTGACTCTTTTCAAAAACGTTCTTCGGCAGTGGGGTTTCCGAAAGCTCGAAAGTACGGCGTACGGCTAAAGTTCACTTTAGTTCGGCCAACTCTCGAAAGTTCCTCAGTTTTTTTGTATGTTTTGTTACGATGGCGATGGCGATACCGGCGATACAACGTGGACGTGCATGTAGTCGACTTAAATTCAAACTGTCAAATACCAGATATTTAAAAAATATTATAAATATTTGTAATAAAAATTAAGCAGCATTACATGTAAACAATGTGTTGGAGCTGGTTGGAGGTTTTTGAGCACGTTTGTGTACCAAACTAAAGCTCGGCTTCTTTCAACTTTCAACATGGCGGCGAACATTGTCCCGCGTCCCATCTCCCATGCCTCTGTAGGGAATGCGTCTCATCAGCGGTCCCGTTTACCGTACTCGACCTATTTGACGTGTATTGGTTCTCCTGTATCCATCTCCTGCAATCAAGATCAGCCACAATTATGCTGTACAGATATGGTGTGCCCGCCAGCGGGAATATCCAATCTCGTTACAAGCAAGGCCTAGGGTTGCTCAGACGTCGTTGACATCCACGAACCGCGTCTGCCAGCCTCACGTTGTTTGGTTGGCTTCTTTACCCGTACCGGCGGCGGATCCCCAGCCCTGGCCCCAGCCCTGCCTGACCTAGCTCGTGCAAAACAATCTACGTTCATGCGGCCTCTTTGGAATGCGTTCGGTACGATAGGTGACTATTGAAACGTCGGTTGCCTCCATTCACTGAAGTGTTCTTCGATGTCAACGCTCTTACCTTCACAGTGTCCGGATGGTCATTCTACAGGCGACGCTGCGAGACGCAAGCCTTTTCCGTTGTTTCAACTCGCAGTGTGATTCTTAAAATGGCCACTTTGTCACGTTTAAGATGCTGCACCTTCACTCTATCTCCGAGATGCATCCCAAGACAGTTCTAGTGGTGTGTAAAACGTGGATGCAGGATTCGGCTAATGGCCGTCACCTTGTCGAGTGATACTGTGGAGCACTGTTTCCAGAAAGGATCGTGATAACTGGAAGTGTGCTCGTCGTGATACCGTTTCGATTACCCTTTCGGCGACGCCGTGACCTGGAACCTCCCACAAGCATGTCAAAGTGCTGCGATGCTGTGCTTACTGCCTGGCTGCCGTGGAAGCTGAATCATACGACTTGTCCAGCGACGCGCTGGTGCTCTTTAACAACTGACTTAAGTGTGTGCGTACTAGAAGTCTTTCTAAGTGTACCACTTGCTGTGTGGTATATACCATGGAACTATTCCCAGAGTGGCCTAAGTGCTCGACAATTCAAGGAGGCAGTGTGCTCAGTCAAAGTGTCTTCAACATGTGTCTTAATCATGGTAATGCCTCCCTGCAACTGCTGTTACGGACGACCTGATACTAGTGGTGCTAATCAACTTGCGCTTTTCTTCGGCAGCCAAGCTCACCCCAGATCTCTTGCCGCTGTGACATTGGCTTAAGTTCTGACCCTTCACTGGAGGGCCAGGGTTGATCTCAACTGTGGCCGTCCATTGGGTCGTGTGATCATATGCCTCCTAGACAACGCAGGGAAACCGCAAGCTCACAAGACAGCACTGATGCCAGTTGTCTGCAAGAATTGTGCTATTGCCCTTCGATTGCTTCCTGCCGTAAAGTAACAGCGTTCTTTCTTGCTGTTGTCTTCACCGTTCTGGCAATCCCTCTATGTGTGCTCATGCATAACCCCCCCCCTACCAATTGTGACAAGCTCTAAAACTTCTGTAGGCATGCCACTCGCCACCCTCTCTACCAGTGAGGTAGAGCGGTGCCTATGTGCTTTACTGTGAATTACAAGCTTTTACTTAATTTCTAACCTGTGTGTCGTCCCTTCCCCCCCCCCCCCCTCCCTTTTTTTTTTTGGTGCTTTTGCAGGGCACTACAGAATTCTTAAAGGGATACGACAACAAAATTTCGGTGCTTATTTTTTGGTCTATATGTGTTGAAAGGAGCAGTATCACGTCGGACACACCAATATCTTGTTAAAAAAGACACGAAAAGGAATTTTATAATGAATTAAACGATTAACAAAGAGCACCTGGTGAATGTCGCTAACGCCTCGTTTGTAATGCCCGTCTAGCAACCTTGACAGCTAGTGACAGTGAGTGTCTTGCCTCTGGCCACGATGAGAGAAGAGCTGAAGGAGGAACTCTGCTCTCCCCGAGAATTCTTTTGTGTGTCCCAGAAGTCGCTACTGTCCCTCTACAAGATTACAAAAGCTTAACCTGTCGCTCTAAATTCGTACAAAGGCAGACGCTTTGATGACAGGAACAACTAGGCTATCCTCTCAATGTCAGCCTCGCCGCAGCTTTGCTCGTCCCGAGACAAAGTATGTCACGATTGCGTCGGATGTCACGTGCTCTGCTGGCTGCTCTCCGAGCGCTTGTCAGAGTGAGCCGTTGAGAACAAAAATACAGCCACCAGGCTGAAAATACAAATGTGCGATTGTCATTTATAAATTTTGTTGATTATATTCAGTCATATATTTTTGAGCATGACGGGTATATTTCAAATTTAGTTGAAGTATCCCTTTAATATGGACCCATGGTTTTTCTATTATATGAAGTTGCTTTTAGCAGGATAAAACGAATAAAGTGCTTTTAAATTTTAAATGCTTTTATCTTCTGTGCCGCAGAAATAAATATTATTTAATTCAACCGAACAAAAAACGGATTTTATATCCGTTAATTAAGAAACGGACACAGATTCCGTCAGAATTACGACAAAGTGTTTGTAAAATTACGGAAATTTTTTACAGTGTAGACTACAGCAGGTATTGCCCAGTATGCAATGCCAGGAATTAATTTCGAGGGAAAGGCCGTTCCCAAGCTTCTTAAGAACATGCATGGTAATGTCCTACTTATTATATAATACACTGGAGTGGATATAGTTAGGGTTCCATGTTTTCAGAATGTTTTTTTAGTGAAATTCCGAAGGTGTTTTCTCTTTTTGTGCAAGTAGAGGATAATATTTTTGTAGGTGAAAGAGTTCACATTGAACCCTGCGCTGCATCCATGCTATTTAGGAGCACGGTGATAGTGTGACGCTCTTCTTGATGAGAACAACGCACGTGAGAAAATAATTTCCGGTGCAGCCCAGAGTACTCACTCAGCAAATATATATACGGTGGCTAGGCTCGCACATAGAATGTTGAGTCCGCGCACAGCACCGATTCAATCGAAACATGCAGGGAGGCCATTTTGCTTCCCATTGGATTCCAGCTGACTGATTGCGCAATCTTTTCTCGATGGGCTAGATCCGAGCGATACGATATTGCGTTGCACCTTGTCACTGTTAGTGATGCCAGTGACGGTTCCTACGGTAAGCGTTGCGGGATACTCATTTTATCATACGGTGTGTCATATATCTAGGGTTGAGAGCATGCAATCACCGATCCAGTTGTTGCAGATAGACATGGATTACCCAGTCGGTCATGGAAGCACGTCGAATGAGAAGGACAGAGAATAAAAGCAAATATAGGGTTCTCTTAATAAAGCTAGTGAAAGAAGAACAATGATATGCTTCCCCTATAGGGAATTGAGCCCACAGCCTTTTGATTAAGAGCCCGATGTTCTACCCCTGCACCACTGAATGACACAACGAACGGCGTTTCATCTGGGTTCTTTTAAGTCACGCAGCTTTTGCGGAACATTCATGTGACTCACGTGGCGCTTGCACTCGCCAGTCATGCCCGGCGGCTGACGTGCTGTAATGGGCGGCTTCCTGCCATGCTTTGTCGCGTCTTAGCATGGACTAGCCAGAGTGGTTACAAGTGTGATTGAGCGCCCTGCGTTTAATTGCGGTTTGGTTGTACGAGAGCACGAGCAGGAGGGACACCAGTGAAAGCAACTCGCTTGTGATTGTACCATTACCAGCTAGTTCATGCTAGGGTAAGACAAAAGGATAGTGTTGTCGCACCTTCCCTTCCATTTGGCAGCGGAAAAAAAATTCGGATGACACATTGTGTGCAGGTGTGTGTCACGGGAGTGATTAAAAGCTCATGAACCCAGTTACAAGCTTCGCAACTCTTACTATACTCTGTGTCATCCGAGTTTTCTCGCAGGGTCAAGGTGTATTTATTTCTTTGTTGTGTCTAGTGCTTACCAGTGTCGCGCAGTCTATGTACAGCATCCTGCGAGCTTTGACTATACATGCGTGGCCGTACTGCCTAGGCGGCAGGCTGTCCTTTCCAGCATGTCATGCGCATACTTGTTTACACTTTGCATTGAGCAACTGTGTGTGTGAACAGTGTTAGTGACAGCCAGGCTAGCACTTGACGCTTTGTTCTTAGAATTGAAAGGCTGCCTTCAAAACGTTAAATGCAAGACGCATGTGCGTCGAAACAATGTGAGCCAGCGTACAAACAGTCGGAAAGATGGCTGCTCCGGCGTGCTGCACACAGCAGTTTGCGGCAGATGCTTTGGATCTTGCATACGTCAGGTCGATCGATTGGCTCCGCCCAGTTCAGGCAGATACGAGGAAAACTGAAATTGTTTTACGTTTAAGCTCTTGTTGGAATACTAAGCATTTGTATCATTCTCCAAACGACCTTCAAATTAAATACGTTGTGCTCGGATGCCGGAACCATGCATTGTGTCTAGCTTTTATAGATAATTATATTGTTCTCAAGAGTCGTTACTTGTGGCTCCTTTGGGCGAAAACTGCACTGCGGTTCAATGAGATGAGGGTTGCTGAGAGTCGATGTGGATTTGTTTGTAAATTCCAAGTGCTTTTTGACCAAAGATCTAGCTTCGAACACGAACAAAGCCTTCATTGAAGAACTGGATGAAGCTCGGGAGTGCGTCGTTTGTTTGGGGAACAAACCCTG